CCGCGGCACCAGCACCCTCAGTAGCCGAAGAACCTCCAGCTCCAGCAGCACGCCTCCAGCGCCGGGCAAACCACTCGCGCAGCTCCTGTGGAGAGAGTGGCTCCCGCCGAGACGAAGCACCCGGAGAACCTCCAGGCTCAGCTCCCTCAGGCTCCGCACCCCCAGGCTCAGCACCTCCAGGCGTAGCACCCCCAGGCTCAGCACCCCCAGGCTCAGCACCCCCAGTAGTAGCACCCTCAGGCTCAGCACCCCCAGGCGTACCACCCACACGCTCAGCACCCCCAGAGTCAGCACCCCCAGGCTCAGCACCCTCAGCAGCACCAGAGTCACCAGTAACCTCGACAGGCTCGACTGCGTCTACCTGGGACACACCTGAAGGGGCAGGACCCTGAGGGGGGAGGGGGTCTACCGGGGGGGGACCTGGCACAAGGAAGAGCGGTGGTGGGGGGAGGGACGGAGTGCGGTAGGGGAAGAGGCGGTAGTAGGGGACCGACTCGTCAAACGTGACGTCCTGGGAGGAAAGAACACGGGCGCAGAGGTGGGGTGGTAGAACTGCCACCCTGGCGCGTCAGGGGGGAAGCCAAGGAAGACGCAAGGAGCAGCACGAGGGGACAGCTTGTCCGCAGACAAGTCGCGGACAAACGCCCGAGATCCCCAGACACGGAACGCAGACGCATCGCCAACCTTCCCCGTCCACAGCAAAGCAGGGGAGGTCTCCGGTCTGGAGACCCTAGGGTGAAGGTTGATCTGATGCGCCGCGTACCGAACCGCAAACGGCCACAGAAAATGGGGGGCAGCCGCATGCATCATGGACGTACGGGCGACGTCCTTGACCATGCCAATGCGGCGCTCAGCAATCCCATTTTGCTGTGGAGAGTCCGGAAGCGTGAAGGTCTGGCGGATGCCTCGTGCTCGACAGTAGGCTCGCAGAAGGCCAGAGGAGAACTCTCCACCTCTGTCAGAGTGCAGACGCAGAACAGGAAAGTCCGAACCGAAGCTCTGCCTGAGCTGGAGACGAGCTGCGCGGATCCAGTCGATCAACACCTCAGTGACATCACCCTTGCTGCGCAAGGGGAAGACTGTGGTGTAACGCGAGTAGTCGTCAACCACCAGCAGGAAGTAGCGCTCGTGACCCTGTCCACGGACGCGGGCCGGGTCCCACACGTCCATGTGAAGCGTCTGCAGCGGGGCCTCTGTCGGAGGAAACTGGGAGGAGTGAGGGGCAGCCCGCTGCCGCCCCTCGACACAGGGGACGCAGGTAGGGCCAGGCCCCGGAGGAAGGGGAGGGAGGGACCGGGGAAGACCAGAGACAAGGACACGGGAGGCCATGCCTCGGAGACGAAGCAGGGAGGGGTGACCAAGGCGGTGGTGCCAGAGGAGAGTCTCGTGAGACAGGAGGCGACACGAACAGGGAGCAGACTCAGGACCAGACCTGGACGCTGCAGCAAATACCTGACCTGACGCAGCTACCTGACCAGACGCAGTGACTGGAGGAGACGCAGTGGTCAGGGTGTACAGGCTCGACCCCGGCCGACGGGTAAACGTGGCCAGGTGTCGGCCAGTCCGAGCGTCCGTGCAGTGGGTCACCCGCTGACTCCCAGGAGTGAACTGGTGAACCCCCGCATCCTGTAGGTCAGCACCACTCACCAAGTTCGTAGAGAACGAGGGGAGGTAAAGACCAGACAGGGTGCCAGAGGGGGCCGCCGGACACGGGAGGACAGTGGAGAAGTGAGCAAGGACAGGACCCCCAGAGGGGTCTGCCAGAGAGACCGCAACTGGCCGGCCAAGCGGCGTGAGTGTGGTGCGGTCTCGAAAGAAGGAGCGAGAAGCCCCCGAGTCAAGGGTGAAGGTGTGGGAGGCCGAGGCCGACGCAGAACCTGAGAGAGCAGACTCACCAGCACCTGAGGGAGCAGACGCACCTAGAGCAGCAGCCTCGCTAGCACCTAGAGCAGCAGCCTCACCAGTACCTAGAGCAGCAGTCTCAATGCCCGGGTCGGGCGGAAAACACCGGTAACAGTCACCCTCATCACTAATAGTCACAGTATACATGGCAGCAAGAATAGCATCAAAGTCAAGGTCAAAGACAGCCACACCCGCCCTAGACAGCTCACCCCAGCGGGGGATCTCAGTGGCCTCAGGGAACTGGTGACGCCAAGCGTCCGTCAGGCGGCCAAAGCAGCGCTGGGTGGAGTGCGCACCCCCGCACTGCTCACCCGCGCGGTCGCCGGTGCGGAGGACGTAGGTGCACGGACCAGTACCCCCACCCCTCTGGCGTGCAGCGTACCACTCACGGAGCTGCTGAGGGGAGGGGATGTCACGAGTGCGCTGCTGCTGCTGCTGCTGCTGCTGGCGCTGACCACCACCGGAGCCGACTCTCTGCGCAGCGCCACCCCGACCAGCTCCACCTCCTCCGCCGCCTCTTCCTCCACCGCCGCCACCTCCGCTCCCACCGCCACCGCCGCCGCCGCCTCCGCCTCCACTGCCACCACCGACACCTCCACCCCCGCCACCACCCCCACCGCCACCCCCACCCCCTCCACCGCCTCCACCGCCGCCTCCACCGCCCCCGCTAGCTCCTCCAGTGCCCCTGCCCCCCTTGCCCTTGCCAGGGCGGCGTCTCCCGCTAGGGGTAGACGCCGCACCGACCGACTCAAGCCCAACGAGGTCGGCCGCAGCAGCAGAGTCAACAGAGGGCAAAAGGGGGGAGGGGGAACACCCCTCAAAGATGGGGGTGCGAGGGTCACCACGAGAGGCTCCTACAGCTACTATGCTCTTCTCTGCTGCTAGGAGGGACTTCTCGAGGAGGTCAACGGTGAGAGTGGTGGGGCAAACAGAGAGGAAGTGGTCCCTGACTACGCGAAGGGAGTCAGGGAGCCGGGTGACTATGTAGTAGAGGGTGATGTACATGGGGGGGGGGTTCTTGGCGCAGAACTCTGCAGGAAGCGCAGCGCGGTAGCGAGTGTCACTAGTGCGGAGGTGCGTAATGAGGTCAGCGACTGTGGGAAAGGCAGCAAGGTCAGAGAAGAGGTACGGTAGCATGAGGCGGCTAAGTGCAGCAGTGGCAGGGGAGGAGTAGCGCGCAACTACAGCGTCGTACAAGGTCTGAGCACTCTTGTACTGGCTAAAGTGCGCACGCTCAGAGGTAGGTAGGTGGCGACGCACAGCAAGACGTGCAGCAGCATCGCGCGTGGCCCACTGGGAGCGAACAGTGGCGTCAGCAGCAGCAGCGGGGGCAGGAGAGGCACCAGAAGTGAGGTCAAAGAGGGAGAGGCCGTCTGCCCTGTCGCACTGTAAGAAAAGCTGCAGGTCATCTATCCAGACGTCAAAGTCAATGGCCCGACCCTCAGCGTCAAAAGCGAGGACACTAGGGGTAGCCATGACAGCAGTAGACTAGCAGCGCAAACAGTAGGGTGAGGGCAGTGCTGTGAAAGGGGCGCTGCTCTTACCGGACAGGGCGGCTCGGGTGGCTCGGCTGTAGGGCGGCTCGGCGGCTCGGTTGCTGGGCGGCTCGGCGGCTCGGCTGCTCGGCGGCTCGGCGGCTCGGCTGCTGGGCGGCTCGGCGGCTCGGCTGCTGGGCGGCTCGGCTGCTGGGCGGCTCGGCTGCTGGGCGGCTCGGCTGCTGGGCGGCTCGGCTGCTGGGCGGCTCGGCGGCTGGGCGGCTTGGCTGCTGGGCGGCTCGGCGGGGCCGCTGAGAGGGCGGCGTCCGGGGCCGCTGGGAGGAGGCGGCGGGGCCGCTGAGAGGAGGCGGCGGGGCCGCAAAGGTAGGTGGTGGGGCCGCAGGTAGGTGGCGGGGCCGCTAGTAGGTGGCGGGGCCGCATGTAGGTGGCGGGGCCACTGGTAGATGGCGGGGCCGCACAGGCAAGTGGCTGGGCCGCGGAGGTAGGTGGCGGGGCCACACAGGTAGGTGGCGGGGCCGCGGAGGTAGGTGGCGGGGCCGCACAGTGAGGTGGCGGGGCCGCGAAGGTAGGTGGCGGGGCCGCACAGGTAGGTGGCGGGGCCGCGGAGGTAGGTGGCGGGGCCGCACAGGTAGGTGGCGGGGCCGCGAAGGTAGGTGGCGGGGCCGCACAGGTAGGTGGCGGGGCCGCGGAGGTAGGTGGCGGGGCCGCACAGTTAGGTGGCGGGGCCGCGAAGGTAGGTGGCGGGGCCGCACAGGTAGGTGGCGGGGCCGCGGAGGTAGGTGGCGGGGCCGCACAGGTAGGTGGCGGGGCCGCGAAGGTAGGTGGCGGGGCCGCGTAAGGTGGCGATGGGCCCGACGGGCGCGACGGGCGCGACGGGCGCGACAGGCGCGACGGGCGCAACGGGCCGAAAGGGCGGCGCGAAGGGCCGTAGGGGCGGCGCGACTCGGGCCGGAGCAAAACGCGCTCCGGGCAGGAAAAAAAAAAAAAATCGTGGTGGTGGGCCCTAGGAATCGTTCCCACTAGGGAACCTGCTCTGATACCATGAGAAGAAACGAGGAATGGAATGACTAAAGGAAAGTTGGGTACAAATGCAAACCCTAGGAAAACTGTACCCCATATGTGCTACCCCACTATAGCCTACAGTAGCTATGTCATATAAATCTGACATTTTTCCCCTAGAGATTTTTTTTTATATATATAGATCTTGGAGTTGTGGTTTCTCATTAAGAGAACACTCAAGATCTGGAAGCTTAAAGAGTTCAAGATCTACAAGATCTACAACTGGAACTTCAAGCTAAGAAGAGAGATTTATCTCTCTTGCCCACCTTTTGGTGGAAGACTCTCTACTGTTGAGTAGTGGAGTATAAACTTGGATCTGGAGGATTTGTTGAGGGTTATACAAGTTCTCTTCATTGAGATTTGGATAGACCCTGCCCTTTCACTTAGGTGATTGGGAGTGTTTGACAACAAATCTGTTATCTTTGGTAACTTGGATTATTCTGTAGAAGAAATTTATTTTATAAGAATTTCTTGCTTTACCATTGAGTTGGTAAAAAGACTTTAACAGAATCAACCTAGATCTTACAAGCTCCCTTAATCCTTATGGCATCTGGCCAAGAGAAGGATATGGCAAGGGAGGAAGGGCCCACTGCACCTAATGAGGTGGTGAACAATGCTGCTAAGATTGACCTCAATCAAGATGAGGCAATGGCTGACATTGAGTTGGATGATATTGAGGACTTGGACTTGGACCTTGGAGATGAGCATACCATGGTGAAGCTGAGAACCATGGTGAATCTGAGAACCATGGTGAAGCTGAGAACCATGGTGAAGCTGACAACCTTGGGGAAGAGGATAACACCGGTGGAAAGGAGGCCATTGGTGATGAAAATGACTTCACTGAGGGTGAAGGCATGACTTATCCTATCTCCGAGGAGATTGTCCAACTCCGGGCTAAAGTGGCAACTCAGAATATCACCATCCTGCAGCAGCAGACGTCCATTGATGGACTCAAGAAGCATACTCAGAACCTCGAGGCTAGGCTGAGCATTACCATGAAGGAGGTTACTGAGTTCCGTCGCAGCCTGGGCACTAAAAACTGCCAAATTGAGTGGCTTCAGAAGACTTGCAGGAATTTGCAAGCATCATTCAACAAGTTCAATGAGCAGTTGACCCATCTTAGGAGGGAGGGTATTTACGAACCTCCTCCTGGGCGTAGGCCCGCTCCTGCTGCTCAACCGGCACCCGCTCCGCCCGCACCCCCGGCTGTAGGCACTGCGACGGCTATGCATCAGCCACCTCCAACTGAGACCTCGCCCTTTGGGTCTCTCTCGGCGCCCCTGCCTGAGTTTAACCATAACAAGACGGAGGTGCAGCCTTGGCTCGACCTGGTGGATTCCACCATGATCCTTGCGAATGTGCGCCCCGAGGCTCGCATCACTGCAGCTACTCGTGCGTTGGACGAGGTGGCCCGCAGGGCAATGTATGGCGCTAAGAAGCAGGCACAGGGACCGTTTGAATGGCCGGAGTTCTGCACCGCGCTGAAAGAGGCATTCATGGTCAAGAAGTCCGACCTGGAATTACGCGGACACCTTGAAAGTATCAAGTGTCGTGACCGTTCAGTGCAGAAATATGCGGTCGAGTTGGAGGCCGCAGCACGCTTGCTCCAAAAGCCCTTGGCTGAGGAGGAGATGATGCACATCTTCATGAAGGGCCTCCCTGTCAACCTGCAGGAGGCACACATGACCGGTGGCATGACCAATTGGACGAATTACAAGGAGATGAAGGAGCAGGTGATCAAAACCGACAACATCATTCGCACGTACATTTTTGGCCCCGAAAAGACAGACCAGCAGCCCCGTGCTGAAGGCTCTGGTGATCATGGGAACCGGCCCCAGAATGCGAAGGGTGGAAGCGGTTGGAACAAAAGGCCTTTCCAGCAGCATGATCACCAGCCTGGTCCACAGGCCAAGAGGCCTAACGGAGGGGGAGGTCATGGTCCTAACAAGCCGGATTTCTCTGACAAGCGGTGCAGAGGCTGTGGAAGGATGGGGCACATCGCATCCCAGTGCCGTAACAAGAACCCAATCAAGTATTCTGGGAAACCTAAGCAAGACGGCGCTGGATCTTCTGGAAAGAAGGATTTTCAGAAGCCCAACTAGGGTGTGGGTACTTAGTTGGAGGAGTAGATCGAGTGGATGAGGCATATGTGCTATGTGATGATGATATATTAAAGCTAGAGAAGCTTGCTGATTGCAAAGTCTCTTGTTTGTTTGCCTCTTCTTTTAATAAAAACTCTGTTTTTTATCCTCGATCGTACCCACTTGAGAAATTTTCCATGGAAGCAATGCAAGATAAATTTTCAATTGTTTTCTGTGGCTTGGACATTCTGCCTTTAGTCAATGAGATTGTGAGTCGTTGCACTCAAGAGCACCCCCTGACTTCGGTCGCGTTGGTGACTCGCACAGTGAAAGGCGAATTGTTCCATGCGCTTCGTGGATGGCCGGTCCTAGCGACGTGGGACAAGGGACACCACGTGTGGTGGACCAACTCTCAGTCACATGGACGCGCTCGTCACAACGTCAAGGTGTACTTCAAACCTTCGACGAGTATTGTGGCATGTCCTATTCGCCCAAAGCATCAACAAAATTTGTTGCTTGCGGGTAGCGTGAACGGGGAAAACGCAAAAATCCTTGTTGACACGGGTGCAACTGTTTCCCTCTTTGACGAAAAGTGGGCCACAGCACGCACGATCCTCGTTGAAGGACCATCTTGCCCCATTCGCCTTGGTGATGATAGCATCATCCCAAGCAAAGGGCAGACACGGATCAACATGGAGATCGAGGGTTATCACGAAGAGATCTGCGCGTATGTTTTACCCCTTCTCGCAGGTGTCGACCTTGTCCTTGGAATGGATTGGCTTCGAGCGAATGAAATCAAGCTTCCAGGACAATACTGTTTCATTCTCAAAGAATGGTGACACAGTCCAATGGCAAGTGCCTAAGGACTTGATCACGAACGAACAACAAACGTCGGAGCGTCCCGATGTGAGTTTTGCGCTCGCAAACGAGTTCGGACAGCATGTTCGACAAGCCGATACCTTCTTTGTGGTACAGCTTGAGAATGCTGAACACAAGATGCCTCGGGTCGAGGATTTCCCGCCTCAGATGAAAGCACTGGCGGACGAGTTTGCGGAGGATTTTGAGCCCATCCCAGATGGCCTTCCTCCAGACCATGCTGTCGGTCACACCATTCTAGTGGAGCCTGGAAAACTTCCCCCGTTTAGACCTCTGTATCGCCTCAGTCCAGCTGAGTACGAGAAGGCTAAACAGCAAATTGAGGAGTATCTTAGGAAGGGATGGATTGAACCAAGCGCATCACCTTACGGAGCGCCGATCTTGTTCGTGAACAAAAAGAGCGGAGGGTTACGCATGTGCGTAGACTACCGTGCTCTGAACAAGATAACGGTGAAGAACAGGTATCCCCTACCGAGAATAGAGGACCTGTTCGACAAACTCCAGGGTGCCCAGTGGTTCAGTGCATTAGACCTCGCGCAGGGCTATCACCAATTGCGCATCAGTGAAGAAGATGTACCCAAGACGGCTTTCCGATCGCCGTTTGGTCATTTTCAGTGGCGAGTGCTGAGCTTTGGCTTGACCAATGCTCCTGCATCTTTTCAGAGAGCTATGAATGATGTCTTTCGCGAGGCGATTGGACAGTTCGTTCTAGTATATCTGGATGACATCTTGGTTTACTCCAGGACGGAAGAGGAGCACACGCGACACCTTAAGTGGGTTTTAGGGAAACTTCGAGAGCATAAGTTCTATGCTCGTCTGTGGAAGTGTCATTTCTAGAAACGCGAGTTGGAATATCTTGGCCATCTCGTGGGAAATGATGGTCTTAAAGTAGACCCAAAGAAAGTTGTCGCAGTCCAGAACTGGCCGGTGCCACAAGATGTGGGTCAAATCAGGTCGTTTTTGGGACTGGCGAACTATTTTCGTCGATTCTTGCAGAATTATTCTACCATTGTTGCCCCATTGACGGCCCTCACTCGCAAGAGTAGTGCTTGGCAATGGACACAACAATGCCAAAAGGCATTCGACGAGGTCAAGCGAATGCTGACCAATGCTCCGGTACTAGTTTTACCAGATCCGACAAAGCCCTATGAGGTTGTTACTGACGCCTCATTGATTGGGATTGGGGCGGTCCTCTTGCAAGAAGGGAGACCAGTGGCATTTGAGAGTCGAAAGCTCTCCCCGGCAGAGCAACGCTATACGACGCCCGAAGAGGAACTGTTGGCGGTCGTTCATGCGCTACCAACATGGCGATGTTATCTGGAGGGTGTGGACTTTGTGGTTACGACCGACCTCTGTCCAAACACCTACTTCTCCACTCAAGCCACGCTTACTTGACGTCAAGCCCGATGGGCGGAACTCCTTAGTGGGTTCACTTTTGATATTCGATATCGTGCAGGTTCGACGAACCTGGCTGACCCCCTCAGCAGGCAGCCGATAGGGGCAGCAACACGGCTAGACGACACAGAGGATGCGGCAGTATTTTCTGCTTGCTTCAGTGTCCTAGCAACGGCTCGAGTGAGTGAGATTACCTTCAGTGGTTTTCTGAAACGCATCCGCACAGGGTACCAAATTGACTCCTGGTTTCAGAACCCACAGAACATGAAGGAACTCAAGTGGGAGCATGAGCTCTGGTGGCGTAAGAAGGATATTGTTGTACCTCACGTGGGTAACCTGCGGAATGACATGCTGGAAGAAGTGCATGCCACTAAGTACGGAGGACACCTAGGGGTCAAGAAGACCAGGTGGGCCTTGAATGATGTGTACTGGTGGCCGGGATTGGGCACTGAGGTCCAGCAATTCGTGGCGCGCTGCGACGCATGCGCACGAAATAAAACGGACACAAAGAAGCCTGGTGGTTTGCTTCAACCACTCGAGATCCCGAATGAACCTTGGGAGAGCGTATCCTTGGATTTTATCACGGATCTTCCCAAGACTCGCGATGGCCATACAGCGATCCTAGTATTTGTGGATCGTCTGACAAAGATGGTGCATTTTGTGGCTACGACAACTGACGTATCTGCGGAAGATACGGCCAAACTGTTTGTAGCGCACGTTTTCCGCTTACATGGGTTACCTCGTGTATTGGTGTCCGACCGGGATCCGCGCTTCACAAGCCGGTTCTGGCAAGAAGTCACACGGACACTAGGAACGAAGCTTAAGATGGCATCGGCGTTCCACCCACAAACCGACGGGCAGACGGAACGAACAAACCGGACACTTGAGTAGATGCTTCGTTCATTCATTGGCCCAACCAACGATGATTGGGACGAGTTGTTGCCTGTCGTTGAATTCGCAGTGAACAATTCAGTTCACGAAGGTACACGTGAGAAACCTTTCATTCTGAACTATGGTCGGCATCCCACAACACCTGCTACGCATGGGATCGGTGGATTGAAAATTCCAGCCGCTAAAGACTTTGTTGGCAAGCAGCAAGAAGCGCTTAAATCTGCTCGCCATTGGCTGCAACTCTCTCAGCAGCGACAAAAGTCTTACGCCGACATGAAACGCCGGGAAGTATCATTTGAGGTCGGAGACAAAGTTTTGTTGAGCACGAAAAACATTCGTCTCAAAATCCCTGGAGCACGAAAGCTGTTCCCTCGATGGATTGGGCCTTTCGAGGTGATCAAGTGTGTTGGTGTGATAGCTTACAAGCTTAAGCTGCCTGATACATTGCAGATTCACAACGTCTTCCATGTATCTCTGTTGAACAAGTACGTTGCAGAGGGCAAGTACTTGCCGCCACCAACGATCGTCCTAGGGGAGGAACTGTTTTATGAAGTCGAACGAGTGCTGATGCATCGTGATCGACAACGCGGCCGCAAGATAGTACGAGAGTTCCTCATCAAGTGGAAAGGCTATGGGCCTGAACACAACTCATGGGAACCAAAAGAGCATCTGACTGAAACTGCAGTTCAGTCATACATGGCAGATTTTGCCCGACGAGCTGCCGCACAGCCAGTGGATGGTGTTGACTCTGGTCGTAATGTGATACGGCGTGCTCGAAGCGCTCGTCCTCAGAAGCACGTCAAGGCAACGAGGACGTTGCCACCTGAGGGGGGAGGAGTGTAACGCACGACCTACCTAAGCACCTAATGAGACTCTCGTAGTCAATGTCGAGAAGTTCTTCGACGAGAAATTGAACTACGAGAGATGGGAAGGATGAGTTGGAGAGGAAAGCTGGTTTGGTTTTCCCAACCCTCAACCTTGAGGCTTGGAAACTTCCAACCCATCAAAGTGAAGATTGGGAAGGTTGGATTTCAAACCAATCAAATTGTGCCAGTTGTTGTTACAATCCAACCAAACACAAAACAACCATACAACACAATTAAGTTGGGTTTTCCCAACCAAACTAGATTGCCACCTAGGCTCCAAGCCTATTAGCTCCCCAACCATGGAAGCCATGGTTGGGAAGAGCCCCAAGGGGTATGATGGAAGGGGTTGGAGCTTTCAAGCTCATTCCCACTTTCCAACTCCAACTTACCAATTTGGAAATGGGATTTCTCTAAGTCTACAAGTTCTCCTAACAAACTCTCCTACACAACTAGACTTGTGATTCTTGAAGGGCAAGCTCTACAAGAAGCTATCTACCTACTTGCTAAAGCTTCATCAACATTCTTCAAGCTCTCTTTCTCATCTCAAGCTTCAAGAATATTATCAAGGCTAGATTATCCCTTGGTGGGATTAGTTAAACTTGGAAGCCTTGTATCTTGATTTTATAAATATTGTCAAGGGTGATTTATATTTAACACACGGTTGCCCGTTGCTATAAGGGCCGTGGTTGTTACAACTAGCGTGAGCGCGCAAACCGTTGTAAGGAACGGTGGTTGCACGCGGCGCGACTCGATTGTATTGATTTGCACCCGGCATGTAAGAACGGGCGATCCAAGTCAAACTATAGCTCTCAAAATTCTGCTGCGAGAAAAAATACCTACTCAGTATAAAGTGAAAACTAAAACTCGTTTCCTGCAAGTAAGTTAAGATTTAGGAACATAGATGGAAGGAAAACCGAGCGGAGTTCAAAGGTAAGACGCGATTGGTGCACATAATTACTTTGTGAGCCAATTTGGACAGACCAGAAAGCACTA